ACGTACTGAAAAACCTGGGTCTGTCTCATAACGAACTGAAGACTTGAGTCTGACTCGTAACTTGCTGGAAGACCTAGGTATGTCTCATAACGTACTGAAAGACTTGACTTGCGTACTGAAGACCTAGATCTGTTTCATAACGTACTGAAAGACTTGTGTCTCATAACGTACTGAAAGACTTGAGAACTCGTAACGTACTGAAAGACTTGAGTCTGACTCATAACGTACTCTGACTCGTCATGGATAACGTACTGGAAGACTTAGGTCTGTCTCATAACGTACTGGAAGACTTGAGTCTGACTCGTAACTTGCTGGAAGACTTGAGTCTGACTCATAACGTGCTGGAAGACTTCTGTCTCATAACGTCTGAAGACTCTTGCTGAAAGACCTAGGTATGTCTCATAACGTACTGAAGGACTTGAGTCTGACTCGTAACGTACTGGAAGACCTAGATCTGTCTCATAACGTACTGGAAGACCTAGGTCTGTCTCATAACGTACTGAAGACTTGAGTCTGACTCATAACGTACTGGAAGACCTATATCTGTCTCATAACGTACTGGAAGACCTAGGTCTGTCTCATAACGTACTGAAGACTTGAGTCTGACTCGTAACGTGCTGGAAGGTCTAGGTCTGTCTCATAACGTACTGAAGACTTGAGTCTGACTCTTAACTTGCTGGAAGACCTAGATCTGTCTCATAACGTACTGGAAGACCTAGGTCTGTCTCATAACGTACTGAAAGACTTGCGTCTGACTCGTAACGTTCTGGAAGACCTAGATCTGTCTCATAACGTACTGGAAGACCTAGATCTGTCTCATAACGTACTGGAAGAACTAGGTCTGTCTCATAACGTACTGAAGACTTGAGTCTGACTCGTAACTTGCTGGAAGACTTAGGTCTGACTCGTAACTTGCTGGAAGACCTAGGTATGTCTCATAACGTACTGAAGGACTTGAGTCTGACTCGTAACGTACTGGAAGACCTAGATCTGTCTCATAACGTACTGGAAGACCTAGGTCTGTCTCATAACGTACTGAAGACTTGAGTCTGACTCGTAACTTGCTGGAAGACTTAGGTCTGACTCGTAACTTGCTGGAAGACCTAGGTATGTCTCATAACGTACTGAAGGACTTGAGTCTGACTCGTAACGTACTGGAAGACCTAGATCTGTCTCATAACGTACTGAAAGACTTGAGTCTTACTCGTAACGTACTGAAAGACTTGAGCCTGACTCGTAACGTACTGGAAGACCTAGATCTGTCTCATAACGTACTGAAAAACCTAGGTCTGTCTCATAACGAACTGAAGACTTGAGTCTGACTCGTAACTTGCTGGAAGACCTAGGTATGTCTCATAACGTACTAAAAGACTTGAGTCTGACTCGTAACGTACTGGAAGACCTAGATCTGTTTCATAACGTACTGAAAGACTTGAGTCTGACTCATAACGTACTGGAAGACCTAGATCTGTCTCATAACGTACTGGAAGACTTGAGTCTGACTCGTAACGTGCTGGAAGGCCTAGGTATATCTCATAGCGTACTGAAAGACTTGAGTCTGACTCGTAACGTACTGGAAGACCGAGATCTGTCTCATAACGTACTGGAAGACCTAGGTATGTCTCATAACGTACTGAAAGACTTGAGTCTGACTCGTAACGTCATGGAAGACCTAGGTCTGTCTCATAACGTACTGGAAGACTTTGGTCTGTCCCATAACGTACTGGAAGACTTGAGTATGACTCGTAACGTACTGGAAGACCTAGATCTGTTTCATAACGTACTGAAAGACTTGAGTCTGACTCATAACGTACTGGAAGACCTAGATCTGTTTCATAACGTACTGAAAGACTTGAGTCTGACTCGTAACGTACTGAAAGACTTGAGTCTGACTCGTAACGTACTGAAAGACTTGAGTCTGGCTCGTAACGTACTGAAAGACTTGAGTCTGACTCGTAACGTACTGGAAGACCTAGATCTGTCTCATAACGTACTGGAAGACCTAGGTCTGTCTCATAACGTACTGAAGACTTGAGTCTGACTCGTAACTTGCTGGAAGACCTAGGTATGTCTCATAACGTACTGAAGGACTTGAGTCTGACTCGTAACGTACTGGAAGACCTAGATCTGTCTCATAACGTACTGAAAGACTTGAGTCTTACTCGTAACGTACTGAAAGACTTGAGTCTGACGCGTAACGTACTGGAAGACCTAGATCTGTCTCATAACGTACTGAAAAACCTGGGTCTGTCTCATAACGAACTGAAGACTTGAGTCTGACTCGTAACTTGCTGGAAGACCTAGGTATGTCTCATAACGTACTGAAAGACTTGAGTCTGACTCGTAACGTACTGGAAGACCTAGATCTGTTTCATAACGTACTGAAAGACTTGTGTCTCATAACGTACTGAAAGACTTGAGTCTGACTCGTAACGTACTGAAAGACTTGAGTCTGACTCATAACGTACTGGAAGACCTTGGTATGTCTCATAACGTACTGAAAGACTTGAGTCTGACTCGTAACGTCATGGAAGACCTAGGTCTGTCTCATAACGTACTGGAAGACTTGGGTCTGTCCCATAACGTACTGGAAGACTTGAGTCTGACTCGTAACTTGCTGGAAGACTTGAGTCTGACTCGTAACGTGCTGGAAGGCCTAGGTCTGTCTCATAACGTACTGAAGACTTGAGTCTGACTCGTAACTTGCTGAAAGACCTAGGTATGTCTCATAACGTACTGAAAGACGTGAGTCTGACTCGTAACGTACTGAAAGACTTGAGTCTGACTCATAACGTACTGGAAGACCTAGATCTGTCTCATAACATACTGAAAGACTTGAGTCTTACTCGTAACGTACTGAAAGACTTGAGTCTGACTCGTAACGTACTGGAAGACCTAGATCTGTTTCATAACGTACTGAAAGACTTGAGTCTGACTCATAACGTACTGGAAGACCTAGATCTGTCTCGTAACGTACTGGAAGACTTGAGTCTGACTCGTAACTTGCTGGAAGACTTAGGTCTGACTCGCAACGTGCTGGAAGGCCTAGGTATATCTCATAACGTACTGAAAGACTTGAGTCTGACTCTTAACGTACTGGAAGGCCTAGATCTGTCTCATAACGTACAATTCTCTTCACAAAAGAAATTTAAATGTAGAGTGAATAAGGTACCACTGTGTTTTATTCAATAAATATGAACCGACCATTGGCTATAAGATCCCCTAGGTGCGACTTCATTCTCTTGTTTGACAATTGTCTCATGACCTTGGCGGGACTGTGATCGCCTTCCAAGCTTGATTTCCTGATATGGATGAAGTGTATATATAGAGTTACGTCATAGTATTGAATGCCTCTTGATGTAATAGTTCAGTGTTTGGTTATGATAGATTTCGAAGGTCCCTGGTTCGAGTGACATTCCGCCCTCTAAGTCATGGTGTATTCATCATTCAATATTGAAAGTTGATTTCGTTCAATGAATGGAAAACTATGTGTCATAAATATAGACTACTATGCTTGCTATTGATTATCGCTATATAAGTATCACCATCGCCAATAAAGAGTGGCAATTTTTTGAAACCTCATTTCAGTTCCATAAATACAATTTCAAAAGTTCAGCGACGTTTATTCGCCATGCAGTAAGGTAACATTGTTGGCCTGTTTGCATGTAGGTATCATGTGTCTTATCGTCTTCTGTCAATTGTGTCAATTTGAACAGAATTCAAAGAAATGTCGCAAAAGAAATTAAAGAATTGATATTAGGACGAGACGAGAAAATTCATTTCACCATCGTAATAATGTACGTTAAGCCAGTTGAATAACGGTGATAATATAAATGAATCTCACCTCAATTTCCTCGATTTCCTTTCATTTCATTTTTGGATGATAAATTCCTCATCCAGGTAGTTAATTAGAGGATGCAAGATCTACGATATGTACACTTATTATTCAGTTTTAATTATGGTATGTCTAGTGAGGAAAGATCTCACGTAAACATACCGTCTTTATACAAATATCTATGTTGTAGTAGACACAAAGGCAATATTGGGTAAAGGATGTCATACGGCAGGACGGACCGACGGACAGAGGAAAAGTGATTACATATACACATAAGATTCGTTTGCAACTTTATAATAACAATGTAGATTTATGAAATGTTGTCTGGACAATAATATTTATTTCGTTTACTCAAATCAACTGTAATACTCCCTCACTCCATAACCGATGTCATTCTGTCCCATGTCATCACTCTCCTTTATTTCCCCCAGTTAGGAATATTTTAACAAACAAAAGCATATGCATCATTTTTAACACAATATCATCGCACTTACAATCAAGAATACAGGCTATTTGAAAGTGACTTTACAGTGAAATTTGCAAGTAGTAATTAGCATTAGATGCATGGGATATACTTGATTCAATAAGGCAAATAGTGAGATATCCCTACAGTTATCGAAATATCATTTGTTATCAATGTGTTAGATGTGTATTGTAGGTGTTGTGTTGTTGGACAGCAGGAAGGAAGGAGGTGCAGGAGTAGGGGAAGAGGGGAGGGAGTGGGGGATACAGTTGTATGGATCAGGAGACGGTGACGAAACAACACAAAATATTAGCGTTTAAAAAAGGTATTCAAAATGTCATTTTGACAACGCTGGACGTTTTGACTATCGATCTCGGGTGTAGATTTGAGTTTCAGAACATACAAATGTATATGATGCTAACGAGGAATGTTAGATACCATCACTTGGTCAGTTTTACTTAATTTGAGTTTTAACGTCAGGTTTGAAACCAAAATGTCGGCGAAAATCTTATTCCGCTGAAAACTTAAAAACAATGGCCAAAACATCAAGTACGAAAAACAATTTTATTGTATTTCATTTTATCATCATCATCATCATCATCATCATCATCAAGTCAGTAATTTGAATCATTCTCATCTACATTTTCTTTTCATTTGCAGATGCTAGTTGCTATCCACTACTATCATCTCGTTTACTATCGACTAAATTTCTAACTTAAATGATGATGCCACAGGTGTTTTCAAGCTTCGGTTTCTCGAGATCTCTTCGACCTTTCTCTCTTTCTCTTCCCATTTCTTCCTAATTACTTCCGTCCCCTTCTCTCTATTCTTGCGAGCCCGCTCTAATTTCTCCTCTGTTGATATCCTGTTTGATCGCTCAGTCCTTGGAATCCTAGATAATTTCTTACGGGTTCTTTCTCTTTTTTCTTCAGTTTTTAGTTCCCTGTTTATTCGTGCTCTTTCCAATTTCTCATTGACCATGACCTTATCGATTCTGCCGTTTTCCTGTGACGGTTTTGATGTCATCTTCGCCTCCGTTCGCTCGCGTTTCTCTTTCTGTCTTGCGTCTCTTTTGGCTGCTGCCAATTCTCGTCTGTGATCTGACAGTTGCGCCAATCGTCCTTTCCGTCGCAATGCTTCGGCCTTCAAAAATTCGGCGTCTGCTTCTCGTTTTTCTGGAGGTAACTTAACAAGATTTCTGGTGGTAAGGGGAGGTAATTTTCGAGGTCTTGTGGAAATTGTTTTGGGTTTATCTCTTGTATATTGTGGAACTCCAGGTAGTTTACTGTAGATGCCATTTGAGGTTGACTGATCTAGTGTTTCCTCGTCAAATTCCACGGTAAATGCCACGCCCCCTAATCCCCTATTTGGAATGATCCCTTCCTCTCTCAGCTGTCTCAGCACGGTTTGTTCCGTCTTTCGTGCCAGATTTAACATTGGTGTTCCTTCACTGACTGGCACTTTAATGGTATCTCCGATATGAATTGTTTGAACCTGTAATGGAAAAAGTGAAGCCCCGTATGCTATTACCGACGTTTCAATCATTTATCTTTCAAATTATTTTAAAATCAAACCAGTTTATAGAAAAATGACAAAAATTAACCCAAATCAATGCATTCGTTCATCATGGAAATTTAAGAATAGCTAGTATTCATCAGATTAGAATCCAAATGCTGACCACAACACCATAGTTTTGTGTGAATACTGTTAGCAAAGACTTTGGGAACACAGTGTTTCCTCAATACCTTGGTACGTCTGTGATCCCGTCCAAACAGCGTCCTCATTCGTCCTCTCTTTGGTTTCTCTTCAAACTCAATCGTCTTTGTGTACGAGCATCCCATGATTTGTGGAGAGAACTACAAAGCTGCTTTCACGAAATGGATGAAATTGTACATAGAAACAAGGTATTGTGACGTCATAATTGATGAGATCTTTACGTCATAATCTAGCAGAACCGCACCGGGTCGAATGCTGAAAGCAATATGTATGGCTAGAACATACGTGTGTTTGAAATATTCGGGTTCGGAGGTCAGTCCGGCCCAACAGCTGGAATGCTGTTCGCTCAAATAAGCTATATGAAATGTCGCAATGGAGCTTTTTATTGTTATGAACCTCAGGAAAGTGATATTTCCTAATTGGGTTGACCACAATTTTCTTGGTTGATGTCGTTGATGTAGCAGAAGATGTGTAATTATCATTGTGTTTTATCCAAAGTCTCCGTGTACATTTTTCTTTTGGTCATATCTTACACTCGTTTTCCCTTCTCATTTTACTTTTTGTTTTTTGTTTTTATCTTTATTTCTCAATTATCGATCTACAAAACCAAAACGTAATGAGATCGATTTCTGACGATTCCTCCGTCACAAGGAAGGTTTACTCCGCGGGCAGACTCCTCCTCATATCATATCGTTATAGGAAAGCCTACAGCAAAAGAGAGGCATCGGAAATGGATATCCACTGTCAGTGAGGTTGTTATTTCACGCCTTCGTACATTATCACACCATTCAAACGAATGTAAATAAATCCGGAAGAAATATCTCTGTAGTTTGCATACATGAAATAAATAAATTTCATTGACATGAAATATACTTTAGCATTTGAAGATCAATATCTTCTGAAACATCACCACATCCCAGAGTAAAAAGAGATACGGTGAAGCAATATAAAACAATCTGTCAGTGGCTGCTCAAGAGGACGTTAACATTTCTGAAACAATAACGGATTTAGCATGCCAGTTGTGAGTAAGGAACATTTCTCGGTTAAAAAAAATATCAGTATCAGAATAGCCGTTCAAAGATCGTGTTATTTACTTTACAATTTTCATTTCAGTTTTGGATAATTAATTTTTCATTGTTTTATTAGTTATACAATGTTTGATTTGCCTCTAAAACCCATCTTGAACTTTGTTCCAGCTCTGGCTTTTTCCAAAATGGCTGATCGGCTTACAGAGATATAGCACTTGACAATGATTGGATGTTGGGAAAGGCAACGCGGTCTAAATACTGAATGACATTCGGAAGTCCACCACAGACATGACTTTATTCTTGAGAAAGAAGTACTTTGGTATTGTGTCTGAAACTGACGGGGATGAATAGATGGCTATTTTAGTCCTCGACATGATATTACAGTCTACCCATTAAAATAAATTCCGATATAATGCACCTTTCCTGAAATCAAGATGAAGTTTGTAACTTATGATAAAACCGTTTACCCCAGGAGCTATTAAAGTGTGAGCACCGGGACATAAGCGCTTGAAAGCGAGGAATTAGTAAGAACACATATCGCTTCCGTAGCCCACGGACCCCACCAATGTTCGGAGATTATTTCCGTATCTGTGGCCGAGTGTACTGCATAATTATTTCAAACACTTCGACTAGTCGGAATAAAATTCTAACATTTCAGTTTTAAATTTTGTATTTTCCTTGTAGCGACGTCATGCACAAACATACTCTTGAACTTGATCATGCTTTCGATATTAATTTTAGATATAAAAGTGTCGACTTCATTGATTATCGTAGACACTTGGGATAAGTTCTGGATAATAATTGTAAATGATGTGACCACATCGATTATATATGCCAAGAGCCATTTCAAGACAGGTAAGTGTAGCAAGCAAAATAAAAACACTAGATAAACTCTGAATAAAATACAACATCTTTTAACAAGAATCAATATGATAGAAGAACTGATTAACATGTTTGTTTAACTTTATCTAGGAAAACTTTCATGGCTCCCACAGTGATGCTCACTCAGCTGCTGATTTCGGTAAGTCAGATGTAAATCAGTTTGAAAACTGATTAAAGAAAGGATTTTAATTAAAGATGGTCCCTTTAAAGGTCAATATTTTCAGATGATAATTGGGTTTGTTCAAACAGCAAAAATAATCATTAAGATACTTGTTTTGTTTCTAGGTGGAGATGTAATGAACCTGTATGATATGGATGTTACACTGTTCATGGATCCTCTCAAGGAATGGTAAGTCAAATCTGTTTCTGATGTTTACATTGACTCTATGATGGAATGAATGGAGTGTCAAAATCTATTTGATGTTTGCATGGACCCCCTGAAGGAATGAATGGTATGTTGAAATCAGTATTATGTTTACATTGGGATACAATTGCTCAGTGATTTATCTTTTAATCTATTTCAGCTTCAACTTCAAACATATGCACCAATCAGTGTTTTATTTTTGTGCCAATGGGCACTAGGCTAACATAACAGGTCAAAGTTGAACTGAAATGATTGTTTCCCCAGATAGTTCCTTTAACATAATCATTACAAATATTGATTGTATAAGATAGAAAAGACAAAATGTACAATCATATTTCTGACCTTCAATAACCTTGACTTTTGATTATGTGATGTATGAATAAAAGATACTAAGTACAATAAAGATAATTATAGTTTGATTTCACAGCTCTCATTCCATGTACAATGGATACGTGTACTCTCGATGACGAGACCAAAATAGAAAAACTCCAATTTGAGTCTGCACGGATAACCATGAGTTTACCTACTCACTCCAACAGAGAATCTCTGTACTCTGGAACTTGTATCGAACCCTTCCCTTAGGGAAGATCTAGGAGAAGACATTTTTTTTTCTTTTTTTTTTTAATTCACAATGATTGCACACCAACTGATCTTAAGTCTCTATTGTGACCCCTCTTTTTTTTTACATATCCACAATACTTTATGTTTCAAACTCGTCCGTTCCCCCTCTACATGAGAAACAGAGTTTCATATACAACATATAGAAATCCTCTTCTAAATCTGTCAAATGTACACGTTTCCAGTTAATATCTGACTGGCAATAGACAATTTTGGTCTATCAGTAAGAAAGGAAACGTACGTGTGTTATTTTTGTGATATCTGTGAGGTTTTTGTGATATTTCTGAGGTTTTTGTGACACCTGTGATGTTGTTGTGACATCTGTGAGGTTTTTGTGATATCTGTGATGTTGTTGTGACATCTGTGAGGTTTTTGTGATATCTCTGAGGTTTTTGTGATATCTGTGATGTTTTTGTGATATCTGTGATGTTTTTGTGATATCTGTGATGTTGTTGTGACATCTGTGAGGTTTTTGTAATATCTGTGAGGTTTTTGTGACATCTGTGATGTTTTTGTGACATCTGTGATGTTGTTGTGACATCTGTGAGGTTTTTGTGACATCTGTGAGGTTTTTGTGATATCTGTGATGTTTTTGTGATATCTGTGATGTTTTTGTGATATCTGTGAGGTTTTTGTGATATCTCTGAGGTTTTTGTGATATCTGTGATGTTGTTGTGACATCTGTGAGGTTTTTGTGATATCTGAGGTTTTTGTGATATCTGTGATGTTGTTGTGACATCTGTGAGGTTTTTGTGATATCTGTGAGGTTTTTGTGATATCTGTGATGTTTTTGTGATATCTGTGAGGTTTTTGTGATATTTCTGAGGTTTTTGTGATATCTCTGAGGTTGTTGTGATATCTCCGAGGTTTTTGATTGAGTTCGGTACAGAAGCCTACAAAGATAAAACATATTTTATATCAGATAATGTTCTGCATTGGCTAGAAATGTACACTAAATGCAGAAAACAAAAAGTTGTACCCACGAATCTTACTCTGATAATCATGTTCTGGGATCAGGTGTGCCTCCAGACTCGGTGTTAGGACCTCATGTAGTTCCTAATCTTTAATAATGATATAGCTGATGAATTATTAAGTGTGTATCGACTTTTCGCAGTCGACATATCTATGATGTATGCCTCTTCATGCTGTATAGAAATTGAACGAGTAATTTATCATGACCTAAAAAGCATAGCCGATTTGTCAAAACAATGACTAGTTACATTTAGTCCCAGTAAAGCTACAGTATTATCTATTTCCACGATGGCAAATGGCTATGATTTTGAACTGTACTTAACGAGACAATTATGCAATTCTCAGAGAACTATAGGCATTTGGGAGCGATTCTAAGTCCTAATGCTAAAACCATATAGAAAGTTTATATCAGCAGTGAAAAAAGTAAATACTTTGAAAAAGTTCCTTATGTTTTATACTTCCAACTTTGGCATATGTTTGTGAACTTTTGAGAGTCTGCTCCTAATTTCACGTTTATTTAAAAAATCACTGGGAGCAGTTAAAATGCCTGGATATACCAGTAAGGAATCTTTATAAACTGGGAGAGAAACTTTAATAAGCAGTAGACGAGAACGGAGAAAACTTGATTCATTTTACAAAATGCATAATAAACATCCTAACTGGATATATCATTACCAGGTTCAGTTGGAGATAGAAACCAATACCTTCAAAAAAAAAAAAAAAAAAAAAGAAATTCTGCCAAATTGTAATCTCACATGTACTAGATTATCATGTATACCCACAACCATTGGACTCTGGAATGATCTCTCGTAAACAGTCAGGAACTCTTAATGCATTTAAAAAAACTTTATAACTAAGATCGAAAGAGACTCCTTATCTTAATATTCTACTTGCTAAGTCAAGACACAACTGCAGAGCATTAAATAATGATCTGTACCGTGTTTATTTATCTGACCCACCTCCGTGTGCTTGTAGTTATCCCTGTGATAATTCAAACCATTTTTGTTAGAATGTCCATTTTATGATAACATAAGAAAAGTTGATTGGGTTGTGACAGTATCAACCATTACATATGGGTACGGTGTTAGAAGATTTTTTTTTAATCTGTGAAATATTTATTCGGTCAGGTATTAGCTGTTTATATAGTCTTACACAGCCGATAAGATTATCCCACAGTCTATAATTTCATGCCTTTTCTTTCTATCCGACCTACCCTTTCCTATCACAATAAGTTGTCATAACTTGTCTTCTTGCTATTTCA